CGGTATCAAATGAAGCAAACACAGGAACATTATTAAGAATAACCATTCCGGACATGGTACCTGGCTGCTGCTCGGCCTCTGCCTGATCGATGGCGTAGACTCTGGCTTGCTGTCTACCCCTCTGCTGCTGCTGCTGAGGCTGCCTCTGTGCCTGCTGACGGGGCTGCTGCTGCTGTTGTGGCTGCTGAGGCTGCTGCGCCTTCTTCGGACAGCGGTTCGCGAAGTGTCCGGCCTCGTGACAATAGTAGCACACATCCTGACCAAAGCGACACTCGCCTCGGTGATGTTGTCCACATGTCGGGCACTGTGGAACCTGCTGGAGCCTCCGTCGAGCCCTCTTATCTGTCTGGGCGCCCTTATCCTTCCTCTTGTTGCTCTTGGCCGGCTGGGTAGATGGCAAAGCTGACATCGGTGGAACTGAAGACGACTGGGCACGAACGGCCTCCCTCCTGATACTAGCATCCACCTCCTGAGCAATGGAGACTGCACGCGCATATGTCTGTGTCCCGTGTCCTACGATGTTATGACGGACTGCTGGGCAAAGTCCGTCAATGAAACGCTGCGCTCGCTGGGCCTCCGTGCAGACCAAATCAGGAACAAACGCTGCAAGTCTCGTGAACTCCCTCTCGTACTCGTCGACAGTGCGAGTACCCTGCTGGAGCGATAGAAACTGACGCTCCATCTCCGCTCGGTAGTATGTGGGATAGTACTTCTCACGGATTAACTCCTTGAGCATCTCCCACGTACATCCCGCCTTCTCACCGGGACGCATGCCCCAGTAAGTGTTCCACCAGAGCCTGGCATCACCGGTGAACTGAAGTTGTGCGCAAATCACGCGATATCTCTCAGGGCACTCCATGACCTCGAAGATAAACTCCATACCTTGAATCCACTCGTCCACTACGCGTGGATCTCCCTGCCCTGAGAACTTTTCGGCATGATAGTCGCGGAACTGGGTGACCACTGTAGCCTGAGTAGGGGCCGGATGATCGGGTTCCCTACGTGGCGGCATCTGAACATTGAGAAAGAATTCAAAATTATTGAACACATGATGATATTCTGACTGATTACTAAGGCACACAGATCTCTTGACGAGTTGCCAAAAATGGCGATAATTACTGACATGAATCCTAAAGAAACTCTAGAGTCATAACGGAAGTTTCTAAAGTCTAGAGTCATGCCTGATTATACTGATCTCTAAAGTCAAGTCTGAATGTGCTGAATTCTAGAGTTATATCCGAACTCTAAAATCTGAATCTGAATCGAGCATCTTAACTAAGTCTGATTACTGATTTTTGAGCATAGACAAAGTAATATGTTTATAACTGAAAAACTGAATCAGCACTTACCTGGAGTCGGCGAGGCGTGAGCGTGACGGTTCAAGTTTTTCTAAAAATTATTGACTGAAAAACTTTTCAGAGACGCAGAAACGTGCGCTCTGATACCAATTTGTAACACCCCGACTTTTTACTATATCAGAGTACGCGATTTTTCACAATTTTCTGAATAAATAAATAAAAATTTTGCGAAAACTGAGTCGGGATGCTACCGTGAATAAACTTGATTTTTGAAAACCGTTAAAATTTAAACTGATACATAAACACGGTCATAATGTCTTATCCGACTAACGTCGGAGCAAAGTCTGATAACAAATTCTGAAAGTTTTAGCGGAAATAAGCGTGGCTAATCATAAGTACAATAATCATAAATATCCTGAACAGCTCGCCCGCTCACTCCTCGTCTCCGACTTTGCGACCTGAAAAACATGGAAGGTGTGGGGGCGTGAGCACTAAAACACTTGTGCTCCGAAGAAACACATACTAATGTAAACATCGTAAATAATAACAATATCATGAGCTAAGACTATATAACTGAACTGAAACTGAAACTGATATCTGAAACCGGTCTGATCTCGCGACA